CAAGCAGACTCCCCACTGAGCATGGAGCCCAAGATGGGGCTCGATCTCACTCTGAGATCATGACCTGAGCCAAAATCAAGAGTCAGATGCTCAAACAACTGAACCACCCAGGTGGCCCTAGCTGCATGTTTATTAACTTCCCTGAGCCTCAGCTCCCTCCTCTGTGAATTCTGGATCAAAGGGAGCTCATTTCCTATGTGAAGAGTGAAGGCGCGAACTGGAGGCCCACGCCCCGCACTCACGTGCCTCTTGCAAGCCAGCCCCACCAACCCCACAGCGAACCTGGATCTCAGCAGCAGGCTTTTTAACGTGCTCATCCAACAAGGGTCTGACTCCTGAGCCCTGGTGACCTCTGCCCCCGGCCATGCCTGCTGGGGCTGCCCCCGCCCCACCCCAGAAGGGAAGGCGGCCCAGGCCGGAGGCCTGCCGTGGTCAGGATCAGAGCCCCACGCCCAGAATTCCTCTCCACGGGCCCTTCAGTCGTGGAATCACCAATTCGGATGGCTCAGCACAGGGTCCAGGGACCCTTTGAAGGGAGTCCTAGCATCTTGTGGGGAGCTGTTCTTGGAGTTCGGGGTCCATGGGGTTGCTCACTCCTAAAGACAGAATTAGAGCCAGCTGCCTTGCAGGCACAGAAGGACGAGCCCCTGGGTCGGAAGCGGGAGTGCTACCTCCATCTGGGACAGGGGGCAGGCCCCTGGATGCTCTCCCACGAATGAGTGTGGTTTCTGCCCTCAACTGTTAGTAAGTTAACGAGAACTAACACTGGTGAAACGTTCGTCCTGTGCCGGGTACTGCATTCTCCTGGCACTACCCTATCCCCCGTTTACAGATGAGGAAACTGAGCTCCCGGACTTGCCTGACCTCCAAAGCTGGTGGGTGGAGGAGCCAGAGGCCCACATCCATCCCCTTCCCAAGGTGTGGCTCCTGGGCTTTTTTCCTGGTCGACAGAATACCAAAGCAGAAACCCGAGGGAAGCTCCCAGATGTAGTAAGGAGCCTCTGGGGACAGCCCGAGGGAGGCTTGCTTTCTTGGCTCCTCCCCACCCACCAGGGAGAAAGGCACTCTCGGGTTTATCTCTTTCTATCCCTGAAGTCACATTAAAAGGGATGCTCTGGGAGCCTCCACCCCGCTGTTGAGAACTCTGTCCCCCCAGGGCAGGTCGTGGAGCCAGACACCATCCCCCCACCCCTGGTTCAACCCCTCCATGTGGCCTTCACAGGTAATGAATGTCTCCTCACCCGGAAAACAAGGAGTTCCCACCTCCTCCCCCAGAGTCATTTGGGAATTAAACGCTCAGCTCCACGGAGGAACTCCATGGGTGCATGCAGCGGTCCCCGCTGGGCGCCTGTATCCCCATCCAGGATGGACCAAGAGGTGGACGGCAGGGACCGTCGGGTCCCCATGCCTCTGGAGCTGCTCTGCTTTCAACCCGGCCTACACCTGCACCAGGGGCTGAGTCTGACTCCCCAGCAAGATCCCGGAGCCCCGGTGTCCACCTCCCCACCCCGCAATGCCAGAGCTAGCCTTGCCTTGCTTCTGAACTGGACAAAGGGGGACAAAGGGGCACAGTTTCTGGAAATGATTCCTCTACTGAGTAACAGGACAGCCGGGCGGCTTGGCCCGACAATGCGAAGCTGTTCTGAATGGGTCGTCCCGCCCACCGGCTCACCCGAGCTCAAATCTCAGCCTCCGTATTGTTGTTTTGGCTCTGGGACTTGGATTAGTGGGGGAAATTCCTCCTTGAAAATTCCAGTGGAGGGGCGCCTGGGTGGCTTAGTTGGTTGAACGGCTGACTTGGGCTCGGGTTGTGATCTCGGGGTCCTGGGATGGAGCCCTCGGCTGGCTCCCCGCTCAGCAGGGAGTCTGCTTCTCCCACTCCCTCTGCCCCTCCCCACCGCTCATTCTCTCTCTCTCTTTCTCCCCCTCTCTCTCAGATAAAGAGATAAAACCTTTAAAAAGGAAAGAAAATTCCAATGAAGCCCGGCCGAGACCCGGCCCCTGGAGGCTGCAGCGGCTTCGTAAGCGCCCTTGCCAGTGAGTTGGGAATTTCCACTCAAGGGTTTCTCGGACTCCTGTGTTGCTAGTTCTCACTCCACCCAAACACCCAAATATCAGATCTCCTGTGCTAGGAGGGCGCCAGGTCCAATGGAGGCTTTATGCTGTCTCGCTCCACCCTCTGCGACCTGCTTCTCTGAGACACCAGCGGACGCAGTAGCACTCACAGCCAGAACCCCACCTGGTGGCCCAGAAAGTGAGCAAATGCTCTTGAAACAGAGGACAAGAAGGTGCAGGCCCTGCCCTCCCGAAGGACTGGGAGAGGCCCCCAGGTCCCCCGGTGCCTCACACTCTGGCCCTGAAAACACCTTGGCCAAGTTTCCCAGCCCCACACCTTCCCAGCAGGGCAGCGAGAGAGAGCGCAGGTGGGGATGCGGGGGTCACGCGGGGATGTGGGGAGCGGGGGTCCTGGGCAGCATACCTTCTTCCGAAGTCTCACTTGGCCCGTGATGACAGCCACCACGTACATCTTGATGACCAGCAGCGTGCCACAGAGCAGGAAAGCTGGGAGCGCCTGGCCACTCACCAACGCCAGGGCGGGGGGAGGCATCTCGGTGGGCGGCGGGAGCTCCAGGGAAGACAGGCAGAACCTGTGTGTGGCTGTGTCTCCGGGCGGGAGCTGGAGGAGGCGGGGAGAGCTGGCAGGAGGCCTGTCTGCACTCAGCACCCGCCCACTCCCAGCTGCAGAGGCAGCTTCTGCCCCCAGATGCTGGGAGAAGCAGAGGGCTGAGAGGTGTCCCCGGCCCAGCCTCCGGCCCCAGACGCTCCTCCCCGGCAAATCCTTAAACACGTTCTAATCTGTTTCCTCATCTGTAAAATGGGGGTGTATGGCAATGCCTGCCTTCTGGGGGGGGTGACAAAGCTGGGTGCCTGGCAGGACCTCCACAGGTGGCAGACACTGCTGATTTATGCCCATTTCCCAGAGGGTCAGGGCAGGTGGTGGGCATGAGAACTGAGCCATCTGCCCCCACTCTCAGCCTGGACCTTTGAACCACAGCCATACCTCCATTGACTTTGTTTTTTTGTACTAGGTTGAATACTGGCCCCCCAAAGATGTCCACTCCCCAATCCCCAGGACCTGGGATTATGTTACCACACCTGACAAAAGGGACTTTGCAGATGGGATTAAGTTAGGATCTTGAGAGATCCTAGGAGAGATCATCCTAGATTATCTGGGTGAATCCAATTCAGTCACAAGGGTCCTCCTAAGACAGAGGCAGTAGGGAGAAAAGATGGAAAGACAGGAACAGAGGTCAGAGAGGAGAGGAGAGGAGAAGCTATATTGCTGGCTTCGAAGATGAAGGGGAGGAGGGCCATGACCCAAAGGATGCAGGTGACCTCTAGAAGCTGGAAAGGACCGGGAAACAAATTCTCCCCTAAAGCTTCCAGAAGGAACCAGCCTTGGCATACCTTGACTTTTTGCCCACTGACATTGGTTTTGGACTGCTGGTCTCCAGAACTCTAAGAATAATAAATTGGTGTTGTTTTAAGCCATGAAATGTGGGGTGATTGGTTACAGCCAGCATGGGAAACTAGAGAACACCCTTCCATTTTGTTCTGTAGCATCTCTGGGCAGGCATACCTTGGAGATATTGCAGGTCCGGTTCCCAACCACTGCAATAAAGCGAGTTTCGCAATAAAGCGACTCATATGAATTTTTTTCATTTCCCGGTGCACATCAAAGTTATGTTTACACTATACTGTAGTCTAGTAAGTGTGCAAGATCTTTATGTCTAAAAAGGAGGGTATGTACCTTAATTAAAAAATACTTTATTGCTACAAAGTGTGAACCATCATCCTAGCTTTCACTGAGTCAACCTCACTGATCACAGAGCAGCATAACAAATATAATAATGAAAAGGCTTGAAATATCATGAGAATTACCAAAATGTGACAGAGACCCAAAGTGAGCAAACGCTGTTGGAAAAGTGGGGCCGACAGACTTGCTCAACAAAGGGTTGCCACAAACCTTCAATTTGTTGAAAAAAAAAACAACAACCAAAAAACCCACAGTATCTGCAAAGTGCAATAAAGCAAAGCGCAATGAAATGAAGAATGCCTGTACTTTTCTGGGAGACTCCCAGGCAAATGGTTTTATTATTTACAAGAACTTCCCAAAAGATCCATTGGCTCTTCAACAAAAAACATCAACAGTTTGTGCTCTCAGATTCTTTGAATCTCTTGCTTCAAGATCCTCACCTTGCTGTGCCCGCTGCCCCCCGCCATCCCTCTTTCCCAAGTTTGGGGCAGGATCTCCACAAAGGCATGAAATCTTGTCCCTTTTGTTTCACCAGCACTGCTTGCTTTGCTAGGAGGTGCCTCGGGGCGGAGGCAGAGGGAAAAATCAGTCTTCCGTGTCTTCTGCACCCTTGGGCCTGTCCAGAGGGACAGCACTATCAGTCTGGGCCAGTCCCAAAGCAGCAGCGACCAAGAGAAGGACTGGCCAGGGGGCAGAGACCCTGGCCACGTGCTCTGGAGCCAGACTCAGCTGATGTTGAATCCCAGAGCCAGCCCTTGGCGACGGCAGCTGTGTGGCCTTGGGCAAGCAGGTTCCTTCTCTGAACACTTTTCTTCAGCTGTAACATACAGCTGATAGTCACTCACACAGCAGTTGAGAGAACTGAGGGAAGTCTTGTCTAATTATTAAGCACCAGGCGCATAGTAAGCCCTCATCTGTATGAACCTTTGAGCCTCAGTTTCCTCCTCCTCAAAATGGGGATAATGTTTGGGTTGCCAAGAGGTAGGCTCTTGGAAACCCCTGTCCTTGCTGCTGGGGTGGTGGATTGGGGGTGGGAGTGGGGTGGGGGAGGATTGCTTGTCCATTTGCTATGAGCCAAGCCTTCCATTATCTGGGCAAAAGATGTGCTTGTAAACCTACGCCCATGTTTCTGGAACATGGGGCCACGAGCCCCACAAGATAAAAGATAGGTCATGATCAGGGACAGGACACAGAAAGTATGGGATGTCCTGAACTATGTTTTATCTCTGCCTGTATGTTTGAAGGAATCGTGCAAACTTGCTCCTTGCTGACGTTTCTGAGAACAGAGGACGCCTGTCTGTCTTGCCCTTGGGTTGGGGAAACCCTGTCAAAAAGTTCAGTTGTGGGGGTTGGGGTCTGGTGGCTGGACCACCCCCAGATTTGTGGACCAGACGTAGCCCAAGAAGGGGCCCTGGGCATCCACCCTTCCTTGGACTAGGCAGTGTGCTCTGCCCTGCTTGGTCTTCTGAAACACGATGGAAAGCTCACCGGCAGAGGCCAGGAAAACCAGTGTGGGCAAAGAGTGGATTATTATCCACCCTTACCTGGAGCCAAAAATAAGAGGGACTTTGTGGGGAAGCCCTTCGGAGTGACGTGCATGACTTCATTGTAGAAATCTTTTCCTCGGGGCGCCTGGGTGGCTCAGTTGGTTAAGCGACTGCTTTCGGCTCAGGTCATGATCCTGGAGTCCCTGGATCGAGTCCCGCATTGGGCTCCCTGCTCGGCAGGGAGTCTGCTTCTCCCTCTGACCCTCCCCCCTCTCATGTGCTCTCTCTCATTCTCTCTCTCTCAAATAAATAAATAAATAAAATCTTAAAAAAAAAAAAAAAGAAATCTTTTCCTCATCGTCTGCTGAAATGAACCAGCTAAGCCAGGACCTGGCAGGGAGGACAAGCCCTTCTCTGATCTCTGGCCAAGAATTTCCCTAAAGCCTCCTGCAGCCAGTGGAAGCTGCTGTCTTCGGTGCTGCTGCTGGTGGTGATACTTCTCTCTGAGCTCCGGTGACGTTCTTTGCCTGTAAGAGAAGTGCCCCTGCCTTGCAGAGGGTGGGCCGACTGGAGACGGTGTGTGCAAAGCACCGGGTGGGGATGGGGGTGCTCGCCTGGGCCTGGCCCCAAGGCTCATGGGAAATGCAGCAGTGAAGGGGAGAGAAGCCCCGGGGTCTCCCAGGAGGAGGCCTCCCGGGTGTCAGAAATGTTTCTATCGGGGCGCCTGGGTGGCTCAGTCGTTAAGCGTCTGCCTTCAGCTCAGGTCGTGATCCCAGGGTCCTGGGATCGAGCCCCGCATTGGGCTCCCTGCTCCTCGGGAAGCCTGCTTCTCCCTCTCCCACTCCCCCTGCTTGTGTTCCCTCTCTCGCTGTGTCTCTCTCTGTCAAATAAATAAATAAAATCTTAAAAAAAAAAAAAATGTTTCTATCACCCCTGGGTGGTGGTCATGCAGGTGAATATAGACGTACAAATTTCGCTGTGATGTTCTCTGGTCACAGTGTACAACTCCGAGCCGCTCTGTGTGAGCTGCCAAGTGGCTTCTTCCAGCTCACCCTCCGCGGCATTTCCTGAGGATCAGAGACCCAGCTCTGGGGGCTGTTTAATTGTCTGTGACTTCAGAGGCGCTTACGAGAGAGGAGGAAGCGGCCCCACCTCGGCCACTGGTTCCTGTCCTCAAGCAGTGTTGCTGGGGCTTTCTCCAGCGGGGGATGGGGAAATGCAGTGATGAAAGTTTCTGTGGCTCAAGTGACCTCTGAAGTCAGACCCGTATTGCAGTCATCAGAGCGGCATGGGCCACTTCTCACCCCGGACCAGCGGTGTTTGTGAAAGGCCATCTGCTGTCTGCGGAAGGGGTGCGGTGCGAACGCAGATCAGTGCGCGCTGCGGGGGGCTCCGCGGCCACTCCTGGGGCACACGCCCCCCCCAACCCAGGCCGGACCCCCCCGAGGCGTCCAGGATGAGCAACTCAGCGGAAGGGCTGTTTTGTCGGCCAGCTCACCTCTCCCTCCTACCTTCTTCTGGGAAACGGCAACTTTCCTTTCGGGAACTGGACCCCGATTGCCCGTCATGCGGACCGCCCGGCCAATCCGAGAACTCCTCTTCTTGGGGGCGGGGTGGCCACGTGATCCAGGGAAGCCAATCACAATGTCCCTGGCATTGGGCCACTGTGATTGGTCCAAGCAGAGCCAATCAGAGACCTTCCCCGGTACTTTATATTGCGACCCCACTCGAAAGACCCCTGTTGGCTGTAGGACTGAGCCCCGGGACTGTAGTGGCCTGAAGCTGCGCACAACTCTTCCCATTCCCTGCGCGGGAGGCGGGGGGAGCCTGTGTTCTAGAGGCAGCAAGGTCCCAACTTCTGACTCACCCGGGGCCTGAGAGTTTAGGAGTTTCCTTCTTTGCTTAAACAAAACATCAGTCAAATCATGCTTGCCCTTGGCTCCAAACTGCAGTGGCTCCCATCTTGCTCAGAGTAAAAGCCAAAGTTTGGACAATGGCCTGTGGCCCCATCCCATCTGGTCTCCATCTGGTTCTCTGGATTCCTTCTCCACTCACTCAGTCAGCCTAGCCACACTGTCCTTTCTCTGGGCCTTCACTCTGGCTGGTGCCTCTGCCTGGAATTCCCTTCCCCCCAGGCATTTGCTGCGCTAACACTCACCTTCAAGTCTTTGCTCAGATGTCGGCCCCTCCAGCCCCCTCGACCACCTTCATCCGTTCCACAGCTTGTCCCCACCCGCGGCCCTTCTGATACCACTTCCCTGCCTCTGCTTTCTCTTTTCCTTCCATAGCTCATTTCAGTCAATGACACACCATATAATTTATTTGTTATCTTTACTAACACCTGGCTTCCTAGGGCAGGGGTCTCGGTTTTGTTTGCCGATAAGGCACACGCATTGGTCCCATGCCTGACATATAGACCCAACTGTAA